CGAGGATTGGACACATATTCTGACTTAATGGCCGCTTCAGAAGAAGGGAGTCACTGCTTTTTTTTTTGTTGTGCTGGTAAATCTGAATAAATTACAGTCTTCTCTGGTGCTCATGGTTTCAGTAAGCTAACGATGTGTAGCATCTCCATATTGACAGAAGTTTAAACATTTATATTTGCATGTGCTATCTAAACAGCTAACCAATGTCAGTTCAAGTGGTCAACAATCTGGTTTTATACATCCAAAGAATTCTTGCTTGGCAATAAGACCAGGCATCTAATTAAGACAGGCCTTTAATCGTCAAAATGTGTAGGTACACCAGGCTAGTAAAAAGGACTGGGCATTTAATCGGGATAAGGCTTTTATATGAAGTTTTATGGTATGTCAGTGGTGTCTACATGAGGCATTTAATCACTCCATTCCTATTCAATCAGCCCGGTCTCACTCTAAAGTTGATGAAATCCAGCGCTTGGGCAGTGCCGTCCTTTAACATTGGTATGATACGCGGCCGATCATCATTATAGTTTAATGGCATCAACATGCCTCAAGGAGAGACATGGCGGGACAAGAACGAAAGTTTAGGCAGCAAAAATCCAAGTAGGGTGGAAGAGTCCAACAAACGCCAATTTTCACCCAGGAGAGCAGTGTTCACGTCCCATTAAATTATAAAGCCAACCGCTGTTTTTTTCCCCTAAACCTAACCACATGTTTTTATGGCCTAAACCCAAACATGTGCGTTAGTTGTTGGAGGGAAAAAAAAAACATAAATTTGCCTTGTTATACTGATGTAGGGCGTTTGTTTTATGCATGTCAACGTTAAATTTCCTGTGAAAACAGAAGTGCAGTTTGAAAGAAGACAATGCATGTAACAGGCAGAACTTGACACGGCTTCCCAGAACGTCAACAACCAACCAGGGTACCTCTCACATTATATATGGATGTGTAAAGTCCATGACCAAACATTGATATGTGACGAGGTCGGAGTGAGAACGTGTTGATTCAATACCAAGCACTGGTCAGCAGATGTCACTTTGAAAAAACACTCCCAAATCAATAAACCCATTTGCAGGAATAATTAAATTAATAACAACTAATACTTGAACAAATAATAATTGGAAAAATTATTGAATTGTTTTCCTTGTTATTGTGCTTTTAACACATTTCTTTGTCTTATTTTAATTACTTTAAATTACCCCTGTGTTTGACAGATGCTATACTGACAAACTTGTATTGCCTTTGCTGTTTTCCTAAAACATAACTCTTGATTCAAAGACCTTCATGATCATAAAGAACATGAGAAAGGAAGAAAAAGAAAGAAAGAAAGAAAGAAAGAAAGAAAGAAAGAAAGAAAGAAAGAGCATTAAAGCTACATAATTTTTTGTCCATTTAGGGGCAGAAAAGCTTAACAACAAAATTACAAACCCTAAGCCCTGACATATTATCGACTTGTTATTTAAAAATTCAGATGACACAGAAAAGCATTAGCGTTCATTGAGAATTGTGTCTCTGGCCACCTGTCTAGTCAAGTCTAAAATCCACTCTCAAAATAAAGATAAACTTCTGCAAGCCTGCGAAAAATATAATAAGCCTCTGAGATGAGTGCTGTATCTGTGTACATGGTTTTATTTTCTATCACACATTTTCTCTCCCTTTTAGAAAGATGCTGTCACATAATCTAGTAAATCTCATGACCTTCACCAGTATTTTTAAATGTGGACATATTAGTTTAAACTTCCTTGCAACTGTTAGCTCTTGATTCACGTGCACTTACATACAGTATCATGCAAAAAGCATCTTTAGTTTGTTAAGACTTCAGACATCGAAGTTACATTGCAGCCGCATACGGATGTGGTGACACTGAAGCTATCAGCAGTCTCCATCTGTCCCCATCCAGGATGTCTGTTTCGATTATGACATGACAACTGTGGACCACAACATCTAACCATGACTATTTTACTGTCTTATCAAGAGGCTTATCAGGCTGTCTGAGGGGCAGGGGTAAAATAAAAATAAAAATGACATCCGTATTTATAAAGTTTTCTAGGGCAGTGTATATGATGCTACATCTTGTTTTCCCTACTGGAGGGGAACCCTGGAGGGCACTTGATCATGTTTCATCTGCCATCATCACTCACTTAGTTAATATTTTACTATATCTATTCTCTTTCTTTATTTTTTGCTGTGGAGCAGTGATAGTGAACTAAAACAGTGAAACTGTGGCTTGTACAGCTGAACAAGACTGAAACATATGTTTTCAAGATGTTTTGTTTTAAGATGTTAATAAAAGCCACTTTGAGTTATTAGCATATTTGTTTGTTTGTTTTTCAAGAGAAATCAATTTAGAAATGACACAGTGCACTGAGTCTGCATTAACATTTTCATCAAAAAGGTGTCACAATAACTTAACTCCCACTTCCCACTTGAAACCACTAGAGGGAGATGATGTACACTGTTAGACTGCAGCAGGGCCAAATGAGGTTCAGTCCCATCAGAGGCACACTGAAGGGCAGTACACTACATTTTGTCTGATTGTACTAGAGTTTAAAAAAAATCTACTCTGGTATATTCTGATAGGGCTACTTGTACTGTATCTAACTGATTATGCAATGAAATGCAATATATTAAAAACTTATTAGAGCAAAGCAGAAGTGAAGGAGTGCTGCAATAGAGAACTTCCGAGATACAGTGTCGCTTAAACTCATTAACTGATGATGATGAAGATAATAGTTGCAGCTCTGGTACTTGTACATTCTCCACTCCCTCTGGTTCATGTCAGTATGCCGCTCCTCAAGGTTCAATTCTGGGCTCTCTGTTGTTCACTTTAAAGGTCCAGTGTGCAAGATTTAGGGGGTATACTGGCAGAAGTGGAATATTACATAATAAGTATGTTTTCTTTACTGTGTAATCACTTGAGAATTGTTGTGTTTTATAACCTTAGAATGAGCTGGTTATATCTGCATCCTCGTTCACGGAGATCGCCATGTTGCACTGCAGTTTTTCCATAGTAACCCACAACGGACAACCAAGCACTGGCTCTAGATATGGCCATTTGTGATTTACTTTTTTGGCATTGGCCACCATAGTCAGCAGCCCCTAATGTGAAACTGCTTTATTCAGTGTTTTTACTGGGTCAAATCACCAGGTCCTTCATTTGTTTAGGAGAAGAAGAGACCTGGATAATTCAGCTCTTGGTAAAAACCTCCTAAATGTCTGGATCTAAAGAGATAAAAGGTGAGCACACATTAGTAGCTGCTAACATGTCAAACAGCGTTAAAAAAATACTGATTTGTAACGTGAAACTGCTTTATCCAGCGTAAATACCGGTTTAAATCACCCGGTTCATTTGTTTTGGAGTGGAGGACACCTCTGTGGATAATTCAGCTCCCAGTAAAAACCCCTGGTCAGTGAACACTGTGGGCATTCTCACTGGGAGAAGTTTCAGCTGGTTGCAATCTGCAATCCTCACCACTAGATGTCACTAAATCTCCCTGAATCTCACACACTATGCCTTTAAGGCAAATCAACTTTATAAGAGCTACCAATAGCTGTAAGTTTGTACTAAAATGAACCTAACAATGGAAGATACCAACTTCATTTTTCGGCTGCTGAAGCCTTATAGGTTTTCCTCAGCAGAGGTCTTGCTTTGGTAAGATGTCTTTACATGCCTGCTACACCAGAGAAAAGGGGATGGAAATGGCCTTCTTCAGTGAAGTGTCACACAAGTTAACATTAGTCACCGAAGGTGGAGGGATAACACACACTCATAGCCAATGCTGGAATGAAACCAAGTAGCCTACATTTACACTTTTTCATATTTGCAAACACATTTTGGGTGATTGGGACAGTGCTAAAAGGCTTTGCTAATAAAGAAAATGATCAACCTTACAATGGAGAACCATTGTTTATGCTCTGTATGCTCTAGATTAGTGCTTCCCAACCTCTTCATGTGTGAAGAACCCTAATCAACCATGAAATTATGGACTATAGCTGTATTTTGCTAGATGTTTTTACAGGCCATTTTTGGACTGACCTCTTGACCAAACCCTAACTAATCCTGATTAGCATTTTTTTAACCTTGACTAAATGTATTCATTTTTTTTAAACTCAAACATTTTTGTTTAACCCAAATAAATGTGTTCAATGAATTTTGGATTTGTGTGATTTTTCTAAATCAATAAAATGTGTCCAAGGAAATTTGATGGGAGAGAATTAAGGGAGAGTGAGAAAAGACAGCTTTGTATTGCATGAGTTCTGGACAAAATTCAGCAATAAAGTTAAGCAGAAATGTAAATGGCCTCTTAATTCATCATGATGACCAGGAAAAGAAAAGTGTGCATGTAAAATTATATCAGAATATGAAATAAATTGTGCAATAAATATGCTTTCACAACCCTAAATGAGTGACAAGATGTGCTGTCCCAATTACCCAAATGATACAAAAAAAAAAAAATAGATGCTTGGGGTCAGTTTACTTTAAATGGTATGTAACGCCTCCTTGGAATATAATAAAACTTTCCTTTTTCCTCAAATGGATGGGTAACATATTCAGTATTACAGGAATGTATCATTTGAAGGGTGTTTTTCTGATTTTATGACAGAAGGAGGACATTCAAAAACTTCACCCTTTAATACTTTATAGGCTACATTTTCCTGATTATACTTTCATACTTTTCCTAAAGTAGCACTTTTAAGGCAAGACTTTTACTTGATGATGGAGTCCGTCCATACTTTTACTCAAATACAGATGTGGAAACTTGCTCCACCACTGCTCACAGCAAAACACAGCTCGGACTATCGTGAGAGTCAACAGCTGGCAGAGGAAGTTGGATCTCTATTCTGGCATTTCTCTCTCTGTCCTCCACACTTCCAATGTCTCTCTGCCGCTTTCTCCCTCCCTCCCTCCCTCCATCCACTTCCTCTGGTGTCTCTCCTCCCCTCCTCTCCCACCCTGACAGCCTCTTCCCTCTTCGCCGCCGCTGGAAGCTCAGTTGACCAGCGTCGCAACTGGGCGATGCGCCTCCAAGCAGATCCTCTACCTTTCTGGATTTGACATTCCCAGCGCAGCCTGCATCCTCACATCTGAGTGACATTCAGCTGTCAGTGATTTCCTCAGCTTGCGTCAGTCTAATTTTGACAGAAAACTATTCACAAGACAAGGTTTTCGGCTATATCCGAAAACTGACCACTCGCAACAGGCATTTTATTCCCTCTTGAACGATCCCCTGTGGGAGGATTTGCTTTCAAAATATTTTAATTTGAAACCAGCCAGAGACAGCTGATAACTTGATCGGAGATGGTTCAGGAAACGCCGGACAAACTCGCTTGATTTGGGTGATTTTTGTCCTCAGTTTGTGTCTATTGGAGGCTCGAAAGCATCTTCAGACAGACCGCAGGGAGCAGAGGAGGCTGTTACACCGTCTACAGGCTGTTGTAAGGTAAATCCTGAACAGATTCAGCCACTGGCTTGTCTTCTTTATCCTAACAAAAATATTAGTCTAAAAATCACTAAATGATACTCTGTCACAGTTTAAAACAGGAGTAGAATTTAGAATTTATTTCCGTCATTTATTAATCTACAAATTCATGTAAATAAAGTCATAGCTTCTCACAGAAAATGGCAGACACTTAAATAGTGCAGTGCAAAACATTACAATAAAGTAATTTAACATAACTAACACTTCTGCAGTCTGAAAAAGGTGCAGGCTGAAGCTACAGCTTATAACACCTACCCTTTTAACAGAACATCATATTTAGTAATCAACAACAAAACAAACCAAAACAGGCAAACAAGGCAAAATAGCAACAACAACAATAAGAAATACATCTTACAAAAAGCAATTTAAGTTCCTGCACCTTGTTGTTTTACATCAGCATTGCAGTCTGATCATCCCTTTTCATATTTGATTAATACAATATTTTTAAACTTTTGTCTAAATCTACTTAATGTTCTACATGTATGAAAAATGGAAAAATGGTAGTTTTAAACACCTGTTAATGTCGGTGACAGTTATTTGAAGTTGGCACATGTCAGCTGGAGAGATATATCTCCACTCTTGGTTCTGCTTTGCCTCAAATTACATTTTAAAACTGTCAAAAGTTACATTTTTCACCTCATCTACAGCTCTTTACCAATATGAGGTTCCCCAAGGGTCCATCCTGGGCCCTCAGTTGTTGTTCTTGTACAGCGGGTTTAAATACATTTTATTCTGAAGGTACTGGCCCAGTGTGTGCATGATAGTTCATGTATTCCAAAAAAAATCACATGGTAATCATTAATTAATGTGTCTCGAAGAAATTTCAATCTCAGTAACTGATTCATTTCTTTGGTAATTTGGTAAAGGTAAAAAAGGAAAATTTGATTGTTACAGCTTCTAAAACTTTTATATTTCCTGCTTTTCCTTAGCTCAGTGGTTCTCAAATGGTGTGAATGAACTTTTAATTTAATGTATCAGTATGGTGTGCACACCAATTTCCTAATAAAGAAAGAAGAAAAAAAAAATATTTTAATTTAATTTAATTTAATGATTGGCAGCCAATGTGAGTATGATAACAGTTTAAAGGAGAAAGCCGTGAGTGAAACAATGGATCACTTTATTGTGTGGAGCAAATTACAAATCAAAGCACCAGCGAAGACAATATACCAGCGAAAGTCATGATAAGAGTGATAACACACATTATAGAAGTTATTGTGCACAGATACATGTGACTTGGGATTTTGGCTAGCCCTTGCCTTGAACACAAAAAGTCTGAAAACCACTGCTTTAGCTTGCATGATTGTAAACTGATGTCTTTGAGTTTTGGACTACGAAACCGAACACTTGAAGGCATCACCTTGCATTTTGGGAAATTCATTTTCTGACATTTTGTGGACAAACTGATGTATCAGTCAATAATGAAAACAGTTAATAGTTGGAGCCCCTAGTTGTATTCTCCTCTTCCTCTGGCTCATCTTAAATATGGAGCTCCTCAAGGGTCAACTGTGGGCCCTGTTGTTGTTCTTATGTATACACTCCTACTTGGTGAAAACACAATATTAATTTCATTAATGTGTTGATGGTTCAAACATACACCAGGCATTTGCGAACTTGATGCAGCACTGGCATAGTGTAAGCTATACATAAGCAGTCATCACCAGGAAAGTAACAGCATTTTTATTGGTTTATGTGGTGTAAAACAACCTACATGTTCATTATCAAAGCAGGAAGTAGCATGATATTCTTGAGGGTTCATTAGGTTTCAAAGAAACTAGTCTGTATGAAGAGTCATCTGACCATGTCTAAAGGCAAAAGTGTTTGTAGCTGTTGCGAAGGGCTATGCTTGAGGCTGGGTGAAAATCCCGTCGTTAAAGAGAGGGGGCAAGATACAATGAATCATACATCGATGGAGATAATGGTGCACAAGAAGCAATAATGGGGCTGCACGTAATGATACACAGGAAAAGTAAGAGAAGTAGTTGTTAAAAAAGTGAGCCACAGAGAGAAGTTAAAATCTTGACTACTTTCTCACACACGCCCACCTGAACAGCTTCTGTGTGAAGATGCTTGTCAGATTGTCGGTTTCGCAAAGTCAAAAAAATGCTAACAGTAGACGCAGCCCTGCACCCAACATTGATGTTTTAACTTTAACTGCATCTTTCCCTAACCAAAACCAGTGGTTTTAGTAGCCTCAACTTGAAAAATGTACTGCTAGTGTGTCTTCATCCTGTCTCTGTGGGTGCAAGATCAACAAAACACCCATACTTGGACATTTTGCACTGACAAGCACTTTGTTGTTAAGGTTTTAGGATCTGTCTGTGGCATTACTGGACAGTATGCCAATTATTTTCTCTAACCACAAGACCCCTAAGGTAACTGGCGTGCCTGTAGAAGCATGGTAAACTTAAATGAAAGTTTAAAACCCTTAAGTTGACACAAACTCTCAAGTGAACCAGGGTGGAGACGAGACCTTTACTTCCCCCGTTTTCCTCCCAGCAGTTTGGGTCATCTAATCTCTCAAGTCCTCCACCCCCCTGACATGACTGTGCATCACTGATCATGGCTCCTCATCCTCCCTGAAGGATGATACGCCTCCGCATTAGAAAAACTCCTTAAATCCAGCTGCAGTGATTTTCACGCTTTCACTTAAACTAAAACTCCTCGGGGTCCCCAAGAGGCAGGGCAGGTTTGGGGAGTTAACGCTGGGTGTGTCAGCTCCACACGAACCCCTTCCTTAGTTTTCTGAGTTGCATCTTGGTGGTCAGAGTAAAAAAAAACTTTTTGAGAATGTGGGGGTTTTTGTGTGACGGCAGCGATATGCAGGTTGCACGCTCGTTGCATCATGCTGTTTTCTAAAGGTTGGACAGACGCTTGTGGATGGATTTTTAAAAAAGGCCCAGAGCCAAGCAAACTCCTTTCCTGTTGTTGTTGGGTGCGTCTGCCTTACAGCCCACTTCCACCCACACTGTCTGCTGCAGGGTGGGAGTGTTGCTCATACGTATGGCATATATGAGTGTGTGTGTGTTAAAATGTGTATGTAGCACGGAAGAGGGAAGGGGGGAAGTTAGCAAAGAGTGATAGAAAGGACAGGGAAATAAGAATAAAATAAAGACAGAGAGAAGACAGTGAGGGTGGACAGACTGTCAACAAAGAAAGGAGTATAAAGGAAATGTGTTAAGGAGAGAAAGCAATGGATGAAGGCAAAAGAAAGTTATGGAAGAACAGCAGTAATTGAAGGAGGCAGAGAAAAAGGGAGAAAAAATGGACAATGCCCTGTTGTCCTCTGGGTTTATGGTGCCAACTTACTGCAACGTCGCTGGTTCAAGTCTGGCCAGAGACACCTTGTTTTCCATCATGTCTCTAAAATGCCTAAAAAAGTGCTTAAAACAAGGGATGAAACAAGAAATTGCACAAAGAATGACTGAAAGAAGGAAAGTAGAGGACAGAATGAAAGAAGTAATCTCAAAAAATAAAACCAACAACAAATCAGTGGAAGAAAGAAGAAAAGGAAATAAGGAAGGAAGAAAAGAAGGAGGGAAACAGATGACAGAAAGTGACAGAAAACAAACAGACAAGGGAAAAAGGTGAAGGGAGCAAGAGGAGGAAGCCAAAGAAGGGCAGAAGAAAGTAAAATAAAAGTGTGGAGGGAAAAAAAAGGCAATCAAGAAAAAAGGGCGAAAGGAACAAAGGATGCGAACAACAAGAATAAATAAATACAAAAGATATTAAAGAAGAAATAGACATACAAAAAAGTCAAGTGATGGAAACCAAGTGGAGTGAGCAAAGAAAAAAGTTAAGGAAGCAAAAAAAAAGGCCAGAAAGAAAACAAAATTAGAAAGGCAACAAGGAGGAAAGTTTAGCAGAAAAATAAGGAATAACAGAAGGCAGGAAGAAAGAAATCGGAGGGAAAAACAAGATGGGAAAGAAGTGAAAGAGGAAACCAAGTGAGGTAGCAGAAGAAATAAAGCAAAGGAAAGAAGGAAGGAAGGAAGGAAGGAGGGAGAAAGAAGGTGAAACAAGTAAAGAAAGACAAATGAAATAAGTAATAACTGAAGAAAAGAAAGACCCCAACCCAATCTGATGGTGTGTACAGTTAAACAGGGAGTAGAGGGAGACCTTTGATGACTCTCATCCTCCTCCTCCACCATCACACACCTCCTCCTCCTCCTCCTCCTCCTCCTCCTCGTACCTCCAGCCCTCAACCTGAGACCCCCCACTAGAGCCCCCTGTGTGGCTGCTGGCCTCGGCCCTCTGTTGTCTCTGTGCTTCGCCTGCTGTTTGCACATGATGGGTTCAGCGGGTTCAGCTCAGCTATAAAAGCACCACTCCCCCATTTTTCTCCCCTGCGGCAGAGGCAGGAGTTTGCAGGCCTCATATTGGAGGAGGGCAGGAGGTGGTGGAGGAGAAGGAGGCCTCCCCTGGTTCTCCTCTGTAATATATCTTTTCTGACTGTATTTTCTCCTCTCCTCTCCTCTCCTTTCCTCTCTCGCTTGGCTCGTTGGCTGGTTGTGGTATCGTTTTTGGGCCCAGCCCTGGACCAGACATTCATTTTTCTCCTCTTAGTTTCTAACCACTAACTAACCACTGGCTCCCTGCATCTCCTCCCCCCTCCTCCTCCATCTTAGGAATGTCTTATTCACCTCCCCTCTCTGTCTTCCTTCTCCGATTCTTACATGCTAAAAGCTCACATGCATCCGTGCCAACATCTGCAAATCAACAGACGAATGTACACACATGCTTTGAGAACTCATAGCTTTGCCAGCAGTAAACACACAGGCGCACACACACGCACACATTTGAACACACACAAAAGGCCCCCCCATCAGTATGTGCCGACCACCTGTGAGGGTACACACACATCCATAAACCTCCCTTTCTTCTCCCTCTCTTTTCCATTATCCTCCTGAGAGCCCAGCGCCGGGGCCTTTACTTCCAAACCAAACATAGACCAAATTCCGCAA